CATGACCTGAGCCGAAGGCAGACGCTTAACGACTGAGCCACCCAGGCGCCCCCTTTTATAACAGTTTTATGAGGTATGTGTGGCAGATGTTGTTATGCCACCTTACAGATAAGAACGCTGAGTTTTCAGTAGTTCATTGAGTTGCTGAAAGCCAGATCGTTATTTTGCAACAAAAATAGTAACAAAGTCCTTGCCTGCTGGCTCCCTCTGCCTATCTTCAGCAGCAGCTGATGTGTCTGTAATTCAGGTCAGAAGTTGCCAGATTCATCTGGCTAGTTGTCTCAGCCCTCCACTTTGGTCTCAGACACCTGCTAAGGGAAGGACTATTTTGGAAATGAAAAATCTGCTTATTAGGGCTTTTTGTTCCTAAGTTGTGTCTTGCAGAACTACTTCAGGATTCACTAATTGAGGGCAAAGTGTGTAATCTGGGTGGCCTGGTTTCACTTCAGGTAGAACAGAGACATTACTAAAGAAGAGGGAAAAAGAAAGTGAGTTGCTAGTGCGGACAGAGTCCCTGAAGCATCTTTGTGACAAGCATGATTCACACGCATCTTGTAGCTGGTCTGGACTTGAAGTCTGCTTGACTTCTGTCCATATTTAGACTCCATGAAAAGTGTCCCCTCGTAAACACAAAATGAAATTAACATGTACCACGAGGGAAATAAATTCAATAATCAAAATCTAGCTTTGTTCATAGCAGACTTGCATCAAAACCATTGTTTCCCTACAAATGTACGGTGCAGGGTTTAGAAACCTGGATAATTCCATTGGCTTTGCCAAGGTTTTTTCCATGCATGAAACAGATCTTATAGAATTGCTCAGGCTCTTAAGTACTTTTTGATAATCCTTTTTGGTTTAATTAACTCTTAAGCCTTCCTGTCCACCCTACCCTTTGCCCTACAAACTAAAGTAGGACCCTAGAAATCTTCTGTGTATAATGAATACGTTTGAAAGAATGCTTCATTGCATTTTTTGGTCTTTTTTTTTTCCTTTAACTCGGTCTTTTAGGCATAAATATATGATTTAAAGATTCTAAATTCTAATTCTAATTTTTTTGGAAAGCAGACTTCTTTTTTCTTTTTTAAGATTTTATTTATTTGAGAGAGAGGAAGAGAGCACAGAGGGAGAGAGAGAGAGAGGTAGAAGCAGACTCTCCACTGAGCAGGGAGTCCCACATGGGGCTCGATCCCAGGATGCTGGGATCATGACCTGAGCCAAAGGCAGGTGCTTAACCAACTGAGCCTCCCAGGTGCCCCTGGAAAGCAGACTTCTGACATGGGTTATAGCCAAAGATGTGGTAGCAGAGACCAAGTAAAAGCAAACTAGTCTTTGTGCCTCCCTCGAAGGGGGTGAAAAGGAAGCTGAAGCTTACCTTCTGGAGCTTCTCCTCCACAGCTCTGCTTCTCTCTCCAGCACCCCCCCCCACCTTTGTTTTGATGGAATTAGGAACTACACATTTTGGATGGGATTATTTTGATGACAAATTGGTTCTCGAGCAGAGGATTGGCTTTCTGGTTGAAATGGAGACCAGGGAGAAGGAAGAAGCTGACAAAAGGAGGGTAGTGGGCAGAGTGGGAGGACAGAGAACGGTCCATCAGCAGGGAGGAGGGCAAACACACAGTGGTAAGGTCAGCGGGGGAATCAGCTAGTGAAGTCCCGGCCTATTAATTCTTAGAGAAAGTGGTGATCTCTGGGAGTCAGCATTGTCTTAGCAAGAACGCACAAAGCCAAATTAACTGCCTTTCCTTTTCCGCTGGGGTTATGGGATTAGTTGATTAAAGGAAAGTGAAGATTATAGTTTGGTGTATTTCGATTTTTACCAATTATTTGACCCAGAGTTTCAGGAGACTATAAGCTCCACGAGGGCAGAGACTCTCTCTGAATTGCTGACATCAGATCTTCATTCATAGACCAATATCAGCACACAGTAGCCCCTCAATAATTGTGTGTTGGATGAAGAAATAAAATGATTAGGTGATTAGCCACTGGAGGTCTCTAGCCCTAGGTGGAGAGAGTCATTTGGCTTCATGATTGTACGGATGACACCAGCCCCCGGAAAGGGGCGGGACTGGTTCCTCCCAGCCCTGACAGTCTGTGCCCACCCCAGGAGAGAGCTGTTCTGAAAGGCTCTTTCAGCCATAACCTTGAAACTGAGAACCAAGGCTTTGACGTACCGTCTCCTATTAGCTGAGGCCACAGCCCTGACGTGTCGCAGGAGGAAGGGGCACAGAAGCAGCAGAGAAACGACCTTGTCCGAGCAGAGTCGGCTTCAGGCTTCCTGTGGGCCAGTTACCGCTTCTCGGCGTTTTCGGTGGTGTTTTTGTCTGGTCTGTGGACCACAGAGGGCAAGGCTGTGGGAGACAGTTTCTAAAGTCACTCTCTCAAAAACAAGCGGAGGAGAAATTGCTTGCTCATCAACCTCACTGCCTGGCCTGAATGCAGAGCTATTTATGAGCATAGCTGACCTTCGGTGGCGAGTGAACGGGCTCTCTCACACCCTGAGTGCGCTGGAGCTGGACCAGCAAAGACATCACCCTTGGCTCTTGGACTTTTCAGGGTGGCTGGCCAGGATCTTCTGCCTCCGTGCTTCTCCCGACCCTTGCTGCTCTTCCCACAGGCTTAGAACTCTGCCTCACGGAGGGACCCAGGGAGGAAAGGGCCTCGGTGACAGAATGGGGCCCTGGGATGCTCTCAGAGGCTGTTGCGTGAGGAAGCGGTCTTGTCACTCCTCAGCCTCCTTGAGATACCTGGTGGCCTCCCTGCCACCAACTGCCTGTCCACTCTCACTCCCCTGGGTGCTGTCCTGGGGCTAAACAGTGAGCCAACAGCAAATAAAATAGGGCAGCAATATCGATGGTATGAACTATCGCCCTAGAGCCACTTAGAATCAGCGCCAGATGAGCGTGTGGAGCAGGGCCGCTGAGGAGCAGGATCTTTGGGAAGGGTGTGTCCTGGCTGACTAGCAGGAGACTCTTCTGGAATCTTCTTGTTGGGGGTGTGTTTATGAGTAGCGAATTTCAGTGTGGGGGCCTGGTGGTGAGGTAAACAAGCCTAAGAGCCCGTGTCAAGCTGGGAAGGAGTTTCTGTATCTAAGTAAGGATGAGGTTGTCTTCGGGGAGGTGCTCGGTTGGTCTGACCTGGGACTCAGCCATGTTGGTTGGTTCTGTGGTGGAGGGCAGAGTGACTCTTGACCTCTTGACTCCCTAATGGGCAGAGGCTGGTTGCATGGGGAGTTCTTGATCACGCCAACTTCTCAGGGGATCCATATTAGTTGTAGGCCAGGGTCTGGGGTGGCACAAGAAGGGCCTAGGGAAAGGGTTTTGAATGATCTTCATGTATTTTGTAGATGAAATCAATAAGAATTTCAGAGGCAGCCATTGAGGAAGCCAGATTTGCAGTCTGATGGCAGAGGAGCGGACCTGTCCCATTGGCTCGCACACAGGGCCCGAGTGGTGTCATGGTGGGGGCAGGGGGGACAAGTAGACTTCCTTTTAGCTGCCCACCTTCCTCCTGGACCGCTCCCAGGGCCTCACCTGGCCAGGGGGTGGGCAAAACTTAGAAGGAGGCGAATCTCTGTACCTCGGGGCCAGCTGCCTTCTGAAGTAGAAGTTGTTGGGGTGGGCTTTTTGCCCTTCTTTCTAAATGATCTTCGTGGAGAGGAGTTTCCGGACCCCATCAGGGCTGGTTCTCCACTTGCAGAATCACCTTGTTGGTCCGGCCAGCTTCTGAGAGAATTCGGGCAGTATTCATTGCGTGTGCCCGGCAGCCAGGGCAGGTAAATAAGGGAAGAAGCGGAATTGTACCTTGTTTACTGAAGGGGCACGTGTTGTTTCTGGAATGCAGGTGAAGCCATATAACATCTATGTCACAGTTGCCTACCCGCCAGACACAGATACCCCTGGGTTTGCAGAAGAAAACAAAACCAAGGTAAGTGTTGGCCCATGTCTGTTTTGAGCCTTTGACATTGTAAACCCCTTTTCCAATTTTCTGACTTTCTGACTTTCCACCCGTCAGCCTGGAGTCATTTTCATCAGTCAGAAAATTGAGTTCTTTTCAATTGACGTGCTAGGTAGAGGCCTCTGGATTTTCTGGAACTTTCATGTGGGGTCTTAGAGAATGCAGCCTGTATTTTCCAAGGCCATGGTTTTTGCTAATAATCTTCAAAGGCTTACTTAATTAATAAGGTATTTTCTTTGTGATGTTGCGTATAGCCTGTATTTTTAACTAATGAGATGATACTCTTTAATAATGATATTCTCTCCTCTGAACTTAAACTCTTGGTTGCCGATCCTGACTTATCATTTCAAAAATGGATCTTAGGATTCCCTCATTCCGCTCATTAACTTTTCATCTCATTGCCTCGCGCCCAGCGTCCACCCAGTGCTCAGGCCGGTAACTGAGAAGCCAGCCTTAGTTCTTCTCCCACGCCACTCATCCACTTGACTGCGCATCCTCTTGGTTCTCCTCTCAGAACTTTTCCTGAATAAAAGGGGCGCCTGGGGGGCTCAGATGGTTAAGCGTCTGCCTTCGGCTCAGGTCATGGTCCCAGGGTCCTGGGATCGAGCCCCGCATCGGGCTCCCTGCTCCGTGGGATGCCTGCTTCTCCCTCTCCCACTCCCCCTGCTTGTGTTCCCTCTCTCACTGTCTCTCTTTCTGTCAAATAAATAAATAAAATCTTAAAAAAAAACCCAAAAAACAAAAAGCTGCAAGTATCAGTACTATCCTAGTAATGATAGCCGCTGATATTTTTGCCTGAACTGCTCTTTAATAGTCTTCAAACTGGTCTGCCTGCTTCTGCCCCCTTCTCCCCATCCCCGTCGGTTCTTCACACAGGGGCCAGTAATCCTTTTAAAGCCTAAGTCAGTCTTGTCACTCCCCTGTTCAAACCCCTCTGCGGCAGAAAAAGCCAAAACAAACCCAAAAAGACCCTTCTTGTGCAGCACAGTCTGATAGAATTCTCTAGAATGGAAATGCTCTATGTCTGCACTCTCCAATATGGTAGTCACATTGTGGCTGTTGAACACTTGAAATGTGGCTAGTGGGACTCCCCATCATAAGACTGAATTTTTAATGTAATTTAATGTAATTTTGACTCATTTAAAATTAGCATTACAAAGCACACGGAATATGTTATGTATTGGTGAGTGTGGTTTCGCTGGTTCCCATCATGCCTACAGTAGAATCCAGAGGTCTTGAGGCTTACTGGGTCCTGCACTGTCTGGACCTTGGCCACCTGTCCACAGCATTGACTCCTCTTCTTGGCTTCAGCCATACCAGAGCCCCGTCTGTTCCTTGAGCTTGCCCAGCCTTTGGTCTTGCTTTGCTCTTGCTTTCCTCTCTCTCTGGATGTACAAGTGGCTTAATTCCTTGCTGCTGCTTCTTCTTTTTGTTTTTTTATAGATTTTATTTATTTATTTGTCAGAGAGAGAGCACAAGCAGGGGGAATGGCAGGCAGAGGGAGAAGCAGGCTCCCCGCTGAGCAGGGAGCCCAAGGCAGGGCTCCATCCCAGGACTCTGGGATCATGACCTGAGCCGAAGGCAGACGCTTAACTGACTGAGCCACCCAGGTGTTCCCCCCTTGCTTCTTTGTCTCTGTACAGACTTCACCCTGAGAGGCCTTCCCTGACCCTCTGTATCTCATACATCACTCCCTTGGAATATTCACCATCCTTTCCTCTGGCTTTATTTTTCTTTATAATGCCTATCACCACTGGACATTTACATTATATATAATGACGGTCATGCTGAGCTGAATGCAGGCTTTGCACTTTGTTCCAAGGAGCCTCTTCTTTGCCTTGATGTGTAGTGGGGCACCCTGCGAGCAAATGAATCAAGTGGAGAAGAAAGGAATCGATCCGAACTTACTACCTTGAATGGGTGTTGATTGGTTTTCTTCTCCTTTATAGTAAGTGCGAGGCTCTGCAGCATAAAAATTGGCACTTATGCTCCGTGGACTGTATATTTGCAAAAAGATGTTATGATTTAGAAGTTTTTTTTTCCCTATTCATTTCTCTTTGGCTCTGCCTCTTAAGATTACCACTATTGCAAAGAAGTAAATTTAAGCCAAATGCCCTGTCTTAGAATAAGCAGGGGTCTGCTAAGCAGATTTGCAACATTTGTTAACAGTCTTTTCGTTGGAAGCCAAAGCTGACAAAGAGTGGTAATTTCCCCGTGAAGATTTGATTTTGATGTTAAGTTGGGTTTTTTCCCTCCAGTAGTACAGTGTTGACCCGACTTCTTTGGATAAATCAAATTCTGTGTTGGTGTGCAAGCCCTTTAGGGGGCGCCATAGTGCTTTTAAATCTAATGTGTGTCTGGCCCCGTTGTGCCTGCCTGGTGGTCTGGAAGAAGGAACGGCCCCTTCAGAAGATCCTTGCTCTTAATTCAGGTTCATCAAGAAATATTTTACTTTTATGAAGTGCTATGCTTTTCTAATTTAAGAAAATACATTCTGTGTTTTTATTTTAATATTCTCAAGCCTACATGGTAAATAAAATTTACAGTTTCATGCAGTTTAAGGCTTTAGTTTTAGAACTTCTAATTGAAACTCCCTTTTAAAGAATTTCTGAGCACATGTTCATGTCACTGTAAAGAAGATTAAAAAAGAAAAAAGAAAAAAAAAAGACCTGGCCCACAAGGAACTTAGGAGGTAAAATGCAAATACACACGTAGCTATAATATCTATTAAGGCAGAAATGTGCAGAGATGAGAAAGTAGTGCCAGGTGAGAATTCAGGAAAGGCTTTTGGAACTAGGTGGCCTTGAGAGGGACCTTTAGCCACCTCGGATTTGGGGTTCTGATGCACCAGCGCGATAATGAGCACCCAGCCATGCCCAGGGCCTCTCAGTGTTTTCTGTCCCATCCTCCTTCTTGTTGCTGCCTCTGCGGGTCTTCTAAGAAACAGCTGTGTTGTTGAACAGGGGCTGGGCTGGGGCTCTCTCTGCCCAGGGCCTCAGCTCTGTCTCTGCTGGCCTGGGAATATTTGGTCAGAATGGAGATGCTGGTCGTAAGGCAAACTTGCTCAGGGCGCATGGTCTAGGCTCTGCATAAACACAGCTGGTCAGGTGGCCCGCAGTGAGGATTCCCCCAGACTTGGACCTGTGATGTGGTCTCATTCTAGCTTTGGTGATCATCGCTGGAGCTGAGACCACACATTGTCCCACGGAGAGCGGCAGGGGCCTCCTTGTCTCACTCCAGCCACTGGATTGAATTTTATACAGGGACCAGGTAGAAACTGATTTAGAATCTGGACAGACCTGATTCCTAAAAGTAGGAATCTGCTCAAAGGTGGAAAGCTGGAATTCTTTATAAAGTAGGGGAGAGAAGGTTGTGAGAATTATTTGTTCTTGAATTTAATGGCTGATAATGGTATTGATACATCTGTTTTTTCCCACCTTTAGCCTTTGGAGACTCGTCTGATTTCAGAGACCGTATCTGTTTGCAAACCAGAGCAAGTGGCCAAACAAATTGTTAAAGACGCCATAGTAAGTACAGTCCTTATTTTCTTTCTTAATAGTTTTAGTACTAGATTTCTGAAAAGAAATACTATATTTGTCCCAGGGCTTATTTCAAAACATAAATTACTGTGTCTTTTTGGTCAGATTCATATCTAATATTGGACTATTTTTTCCCCTGCGATACTTTATTGATTCCATGTTAATTCATAGGCTCCTGGAAACTAATTATATATCTTAACCCTAGGAACAGATTGATGAGTAAGGATGCCTGGGAACTTTGGTTCTTTCAGAAGAACACGAGACTTCCCTGTTGTGTATAAATGATGTGTCCTCTATCCTGTCGATGGCCCGCTGCCTTCTTTCTGCTTTCCCACAGTACTTGCCGTTGTAGATGAGTTTAGGTACTTTATAAAATGCCGGACTCGTTGATTAAGGACTTTTTTCTTTCACCTTCCTGCTTCCCAATATCGTTTTCCCAAATGTTCACTAATAAGGACGTGTGTCCGGGCTACCGAGTTTATTTGGAGTCAAAAGTGGAAACCATGTGCCTGCCATTTTGTAGAACCCATATACGTGCCCCACAGACTTTTGACGACATCCTGTTGACCCACACGTAGAACAACATGCACTAATGAGGGGTGTCGGTAAGCTTTAGGCCTCCACCGCATGTAGGAAATTTGAGGACCCTCGGAATGAGGTGTCAGCAAGCCGTGCAGCGGCCCTAAGGGCCGCATGCACTGTGAGCACGAGCCCAGACTGAGCAGAATACAAGAAACACCCGACCACCCAACTCTCTGAAGATCCACACAGACGTTGGAAGCGCTGTGCCCTGACTGTGTTCCAAGGCCTAGAAAGATGGTCCTGGTGGATTAGGATGGTGTTTCCTGCTCTCCTCAAGTCACAGCAAACACACTCAGTGTTTTCAATGATCTGAAATAGCTCTTTGTCTTTCGGTAGTATTCATTTAGTCTGGTGGTTTTCAAACTTCATTTCTTGACCACTTTGCACACGAAACTGTTGACAGTCCCAGAGACTTCTTTACATGTTTGTATTTATCCATAGTTGCCATATTAGAAATTAAAACCCATAGTCTTTTTTTTTTTTTAAGATTTTATTTATTTGAGAGAAAGAGAGAGAGAGAGCACAAGCAGGGGGAGCGGCAGAAGCAGAGGGAGAAGCAGGCTCCCCACTGAACAGGGAGCCCCATGCAGGACTCGATCCCAGGATCCTGGGATCATGACCCAAGCCGAGGGCAGACGCTCAACCAACTGAGCCTCCCACGTGCTCCAAAACTGCATAATCTAAAAAATACTTATTTATTAATCCATTTAAATTTAAATGGATTTAAATACATTTTAATGGAATCTTTCTACCATGATAATTTTCCAAAATAAAACATTAGTGTGAAGAGTGCCTTTGTTTTACGTTTCACCAATCTCTTTAATGTTGGTGTTGATAGAAGACAGCTGGCTTCTCACGGCTGCTTCCATATTCACTCTGCTGTAGTATGTTTTTTGGCGTGAAGGATATAAAGAAAATCTGCCCTTAGATATGTAGTTAGGAAAGGGAGGAATATTTAATGGACTTTTCAGATAATTGTGGACATTCTTTTTTTGATATTAAACCCAAACTGGATGAATAGTAGTTTCTTAAAGGTTAATTACAGCGTGGAGTTGGAAACTACATTAATGAACTTTTTGTTCTCTGTTACATTAAATTCCGTTGGTCTTTGCACTTCGCATGTTTTGTACCCATTCATGATTTTGTAACATTATGCATTAGTCATTTGGAAAATGTGGGTTCACTGAGTTATCAGGAAATTACATCCATTCATAACACTGCTGGTCTGATCATAAAAGTCTACATATTGGGAAGCTGACAATCTCACAATGGCAGATAGGTTTTCACAAATCTTAATTTTTCCTTGAAAGCTCAGATTTTAACATTGACCATAAAAGCTGCCAATTCTCCTTGAAGTGACAGGCTCATTTTATTCATTTTCCACAAAATGTCTTCCAAATACCCAAGTCTGAATAACATAGATTAAGTTTCATGACTTAAACAGTTGGAGGAGGGCCTTTCTGCAGGGTAGCCGTCCCCCTTGGGTGCAGAACACAGCAGAAGGCACTGGGTGTGTATTCTCTTTTTGTCACCTAGAGTATAAAGACTTGCCTGTAAGGGTTGAGATTTAATAAAGTGATTAATTTTATAGCTTTATCAAGGGCATTTTAAAGTAAAACTGACCTTTTAAAATCTTTGAAAGATTTTAATATATATTTTTTTTAAAGATTTTATTTATTTATTTGACAGAGAGATAGAAGAGCACAAGCAGAGGGAATGGCAGAGGGAGAAGGAGAAGCAGGCTCTGTACTGAGCAGGGAGGCCGATGCGGGACTCGATCCCAGGACCCTGGGATCATGACCTGAGCCGAAGGCAGACGCTCAACCATCTGAGCCACCCAGGCGCCCCTTTGAAAGATTTTAAAATTTCCGTTTACTTATTGCTGCAAGTGTGAGTGGCCGTGGAGAGACACTGCTACTGCGATTTGTGCTAATGAGCCAGCAGTTTTGCCCATCAACGCAAATGTCAGTGAAAAGGCAGTTAAGGTCTTAGTATTATTATGACAATCATTTTGTCCTCCTGGATCCTCTGAAAGGGTCTCAGGACCCCCAGTGTTCATGGACCCACATTGTGAGAACCTCCTGTGTAGCCATTCCGGCCCATCTCCCAAGGCCATGTTTGTTGGCTCAGCTTTGACGTAAGCTGTTACGCTTGTATGCCGCCTAAAGTGGACGCACTTCATTGTTTTTTTTTTAATTTAATTTTTTTTTTTTTTTTTGAGAGAGAGCATGCGAGCAAGCAGGGGAGGGGCAGAGGGAGAGGAAGTGAGAGAGAACCTTAAGCAGGCTTCTTACCCGTTGTGTAGCCCCACATGGGGCTCGATCTCAGGACCCTGAGATCATGACCTGATCTCACATCAAAAGTTGGACACTTAACCGACTGAGCCACCCAGGCGCCCCACACACTTCATTGTCTTGATGTGTTGATTCCTTTTCTGGTTACTACTGTTGCCTCTTTTCTCCTCCTTCTATTTTAGCAAGGGAATTTTAACAGTTCCATTGGCTCAGACGGGTACATGCTGTCGTCCCTGACCTGTGGAATGGCACCTGTAACTTCTATTACTGAAGGGCTCCAGCAGGTGAGCTATGCTTACACCACCAGACAGACGGGCTGACAGACAGACAGTGCCTCTCATTAAAACCCAATGAGAAAAGGTTAACAGAAGACTTGGTAACTTTATCTGGGGATGTGAAGGACTTTTACTGCAGTGGCAGCGATAAGAAACTAGGACATGGGTGAAAGACAGCACCTGGGGCGTTCAGCGAGGGAAGTAGTCTTCTGTGCTCTGGGCACTGTGGATATAGAGGGGGAATGCTGTCTCTGCTGTCGGGGTGTTCACTCAGGTTCTCACGTGAGGGACACTGGTTTGAAGATTTGCGGTAGAGTGATGTAGGGTACCGGGCATCAGACCAGAACCCCTCTTCTAGGTGAGTCAGGTCACAGGCAACTATGCTTAGGGAGGTCCAAGTCAAGGATTCAATGCAGACCCTACTCTTAGGTGAACTCTGGTTCCTCCAGGCCACACACAAGTTAACTGCTGGTTGATGCGCTGGGTGCTATGTTTGCTGCTGGAGAATCAGAGGGGGAGCAATCTCTCCAGCCCCCCAGGGGCTCACAGTCTAGTGGGAGAGACAGACAGAGAGGTGGTACTAATGCAGTGTAATAGAACAAGTAATAATAGAGGGCTGGCTCTGCACAGACCTGATGATGGATGGTGGAGTGTAGAGGGAGGGCTGGGAGGCTGCCTGAAAAGGGGCTGTCTACCCTGGTGGGTAGTTTATAACCAATACTAAGCTATGTGCAGTAGACCGTGTCCAGACTAAAAACCCGAATGACTTGTGTGTGGACTTTCTTCACTCTTCTCTTCCATGACTTTGTTGACTCTCTCTTAGAGGTAGATGCTGTATTCCATGTAAGCTCTCTGAGGACAGGCCCTCACAGCCCGTGGCTGGCACATAGTGGGAACCTCAGGTGCCCGAGTAGAGCAAACACATTAAGTCCACGCATTCTGTGTGGCCATCTTGTCCCTTCTCCCGTTTCCACATGAGTGATGCCCGACATAAAACTTCAGCCCATAGCTATTTCCTCCACTCCAGTTCTGTATAAATTTCTCTAAGGTGTTTTCCCGGGGCTGTGACCTCACATCTCCAGTTCCACATGCCTGCAATAAAGCTGTGTTTCCCAGCATCCCGTCCCGACCTCCCCGTCACCAAGTCTGTATTGTCTTCACGATCGGGATCCATGTTCATGTTCACTCAAGAGCCCAACGAGGAAGAGGGTGTCATCCTGGACCCCCTCCTGCCCCTCATGTGAGGGGTCAGGTTCATCTCTCCTCCCTCCAGTCCTGGCTCCCCTCCTTTCCCAGCTGTTCCCCCTGTTCAGGCCTGGGACACTGCAGTCAGCTCCCTGCCTGGGTCTCACGCTCTGTGATTCAGAGGAGGTCACCTGGGGGCCCGTGGGCCTATAGAATGTTTTGTTTGGTTCATCTGATATATGAGTGTGTGTGTTGAAATAAAATGGTTTTAAAATTAGATTTTCCACAAAAAGTCCAGATTTCAGACTTTTCATGGGAACTCAGAGGCCCGACAGTACAGGGTCTGCATTCTCAGCTGGCAGTAATCAGCTGGGGCAGTGGGCAGCCGCTCTGTTCTATGGGCCACGGCCCCCCATCCCAGGGGCTCACTCACCCAGGGGTGCAGTGACTGCCATCACATTTGCATGCGGGCTTTCTGAACTGCAAGTCCACCTTGCAGGGCAACCCTCAGTGCCTCCCCAGTAAGGCTTCCACTTAATCACGTGATATAACCCTCTGACCTTCGACCTCACTCACCTTCCTGCCCCTCATCCTCTTTCCATGACTTTGTCTCTGTCCCCCCATCCCCAGCCTTCCTCTGTCTGACCAACTTCCAGTCTTCCTTCAGGTCTCACCTTAAGTGTTGCTTTTTCCAGAAAACTCCAAGACCGTTAAATTGCTTCAACTGAACTATTTTAGCATTTTGGTATGCTGTGTTCTAATTGCTTTTTCTTGATTTTTTTTCTTAAATAATAGACTTTATTTTTTAAGGCAGTTTTATGTTGATAGAAAATGTGAGTTGAAATTACAGAGTTCCCATACACCCTCTCTTCCAGTCCCCACCAGACTCCCCCATTACCAGCATCTTGCATTAGCATGGTACCTTGGCACAGTTGTGAGCCAATATGCAGACACCATTATTGACTGAAGTCCATGGTTTACATTGGTGTTGACTCTTGGTGTCACACATCTTTCCCATGGGTTTTGACAAGTGTATGCTGACATGTATGTCTGCTGACACGTGTCCACTGTGACATTGTCACACGGAGTCGTTCCCCAGCCCGAACATTCACCCATGCTCCTCCTGCTCATCCCTCCCTCCTTTTCCCGGACCCCTGGCAACCACTGATCTCTTCGCTGTCCCCGTCGTTTTGCCTTATTCCAGCTTCCCTTTGGTTCTTTCATTTTTCAAAGTTATCCTTGCATACTCTTCAGAGAACCAGTGTTTTCAAGGCTCTGTGGGAACAACAGCGGCCCCAATGCCACTTGCCCCCCCCCTCACCTTTCTCAGATGCAGCCGCACTGTTCTGTGGGCTGGGCCTCCACGTCTCCATCTAGAGTGCGTCCGGAATGTAGACTTATGTGGGCACCTCCACGTCTCCATCTAGAGTGCGTCCGGAGTGTAGACTTATGTGGGCACCTCCACGTCTCCATCTAGAGCACGTCCAGAATGTAGACTTACGTGGGCACCTCCACGTCTCCATCTAGAGTGTGTCCGGAGTGTAGACTTATGTGGGCATCTCCACGCCTCCATCTAGAGTACATCCAGAGTATAGACTTATGTGGGCACCTCCATGCCTCCATCTAGAG